TCACCTTCTGTTCTATATTTTCAAAAGGCGGTGTTGGCTTAGGAATTGTTCGTTCACATAGTCATAGCTGCGGAAGTCTTAGTGCTGTTCTCTATTCATGAAAATCGGGCATTGAAATTCTGGCGTACGCAGGCAAAGGCCAGCTCTCACAATGCCTGCGCTCTGGGCCTGAGGCCTATTTATAGGAAACAAACAAATTTCCTCACAAACTGTGGCTACGTCTTTTTAACACAAGCTCTGGTTGATCTTATTTGGTTTTACACTCCGGGGCTACAGCTAATGCTATTATTTAATTTTTTTTCTTTGTGCGTGTGCTTTAATTCCCTCATTCCTCTTTTTTTTTTTTTTTTTACAACTGGAAATGTCAGCAGAGAACCCCTTTCTTTAAGGGAGTAGTTGTTTTCCACCGAGCAGCCTTAGAGCCAGCTCCCCTGGAAGTGGTTTTGAGTTCGGAGCCAAGAAAGTAGTCATAGAAAATACCATGTGTACTCCCCAAATTGTCACCCCTGGGGGATGAACGCCTCCCTTGGCAGGGACGTGTGGGCAGTCTTTACAGCCCTCCTACGGGACTAGAGAAACGCCCTTCTTCTAGACTCCTTAGGAAAAAACGTGAAAGGACCCATTTCAAAATGAGATTGCAGTGAACGAACCTTGAGGCGTAAGCCTTCTGTTTTGGGAAGATGCGATGTGTCACCCAACTTGTGTCTTTTGTTTCCTTCTCGCTCTTAATCCCCCCAGCTGGAGGGCTTCTCTCGGCCAGTCCGGATTCCCAGAGTCCTTCACACCTGGGTGACAGTTCGTTTCTTCTGTTAGCCACTTTTCTGAAAGAGCCCACTCCGCATGGTTTTCTCTCCTCTCTGAACGCCTAAAGAAGGATGTCCCTCCCTATCCACGCCATCAAGCAGTACTAGTGCGGAGCAGGCCACTTTAGAATCTAATGGGAACAGCAGACTCTCTCCCCAGAAAAATGAGCATGTGCATCTAATAATTCAATGTCTGGCATGCGCTTTCCATAGGCCACAGTCTCTTGAAGTCCCCAAAGAGGGACCTTTCAGGGGACTGGAGTCCCGGGTCTCCTGTGTGGAAAAGAGCATCCACTTTGTGTTCTCAGACTCTCAAAGTCAAATGTGAATCTCTCTCTTTATTCTTAATCTTCAGAAAGACACTTAACCATCTGAACCTCTTTTTCTTCCAATAAACGTGAAGATAATTATAGCTGCCTGACAGGGAGCCTTTGCAGGGCCCATCCCTTCACACGTCCTTATCCAACTGGCAAATCCTTTCCTACATCTTCGTTTGGGAACCAAGAGTTTGTACTCTCCCTGGCTGTGTCCCTACCAGACCCTCCCCGCAGGAGCAAATTCAGATGCCACAACTCTCCCATGCACCTCTGTAGCTGTGTCATGTGCCAGGTGCTTGACGGTGCTCTGGACACTCCAAGGGCAGCGCAGATGCCACAACTCTCCCATGCACCTCTGTAGCTGCGTCACGTGCCAGGGAAGTGTCACTCTACGGTGCTCTGGACACTCCAAGGGCAGCCTGTATGTTGGGGGCGGGGGGTAAAGTAAGCCTAAACATCGCAATGCAGACAACCTATAGGCTTAAATAATAAGCATGCTCTACACATTATTGCTCGACCTCCTTTGCATAAGTCTCCTCTTCCCCAGAGAAAAGGTTTTCCTTTTCTTTACTTTTTAATCACAAAAAGCTGTACTTCTTCAGTGTCACCCATTTGTTTTATTTTCTGAACACCAAATCGTGAAAGAGGCCCTTTCTTCTCCTTCGCTTTGGCTGTCGGAAGCTCAGGTCCCAGTTGATGAGCTGTCCTCAGCAGACGTGAAAGCTTTAGGCCTGGGTGACGTGTGATGCGCGTCCTACTTGCCTCTCCGCCTTCATTTTCCTTTTATTCTTCCCTTGCTCTCACTTTCATTATATGTGTATTTGCATTCTCTAATAGTGCACAATAACTTAAGTTCTTTTATAAAATAAGATAAAATATTAAAAAATAATCGTCATTAATTATCTCGCTAGTAATGTACCGCATAGTAATGTATTTTGCAAGCCCTGAGGAGCTGTTTGAAAAGACTGGAGAGTCTCTGTCATGACGAACGTGATTGGGGCTGTGGTGGAGGCCTCACGGGTGGGAGGCCTTTCCAAGTGGAGTCCTGGGTCCAGTTAAAAACCACCAAATTCTCTAGTGGGTGACCAATCTGTGTGATGTGAACTTACGTTGCAGACCTTAAACCAGAATGTGCTTGCATGAATTCTTGCCAGCCTTGGAAGGCAGCAGGATGCATCAACTTTTGCTATAAAGGAGATGAAATATTTCTGTACTTATTCAAGGAGCTTGTGTCGAAATGCCTGTTTTCTAGATTCCATAAGACTAGACTTGACCCCTAATGCTACGTAATGTCCCACAGTCATTGTCCGGGGCAGTTTCTATTTGGGATGTGAAGTATCTAGAATACTGAGCGTTCTTTCATTGACCTTGGTTGATATTAGAATCACGTTCCAAAATATTTGACCATATCAGCCAACCAGCTTAAATAACCTTCGAACAGAAAGAATTCTGAGGCCAGCTAATATTTGGATGTATTTCCATGAGCATTCCTTTTAGTCTGTTACTAATTTTAAAGGCTTGACATATTTCCCACCTAAGTATTCTGACAGTTAAATTATGCACAAGACAGAGTTTTAGGAGAAAGCTAAATGTACTCGGGTTTCTATGACACATTAATAGCGCAAAACTAGGGAAATTAAGAATATTTAGCTTCCATTAAGGCATTTTATCTAAAAATCGGGGCTGCTACTAAACAGGGGAATCGTCCTCCTACACGAAGTGCCTCCGGGTCTGAATGGGAATTATTCATTTAGTCAGAAACAGAGGCTTTCCCGCAGATCCAGGACGTTTGTGAAAGTTGCCCAGTGGCAGGGCTGGACTCTAGCAGTTCCGAATTTTAATTTGGCAGGACCTGCCCCATACAGGGCTTTGCCCAAAAGTATCTTCAAAGGAGATGAGCATAAAGGCAAAGGAGGAAAAGAAGAATGACAGAAGGAATAGGAAAGATTCTTTCAGAAGAGAGAAGCATGGCATTTGTCTCTCACTGTGTGTGTGTGTGTGTGTGTGTATGTGTGTGCACGCGCGCGCGCACCCAAATATTTATATACTTTTGTGTGTGTGTGTGTGCGCGCGCGTGCGTGCGCGCCCAAATATTTATATACTTCGGAATGGGACAGATTCTAAGAAGTATCCAGTTCAGCCTTCTGCCCAACATGTAACTCATTTTTACAATTTTTTAAGGGCTGATACAGCATATTTCTCCTTAAACACCGCTAGTGACAGGACGTTCACTATTTCACAATCGTCCTATTTCACAAGGCAAATAGTTCAATATTCAGACAACTCTAATGGTTAGCAATGTTTTCATGACATTGAATGAAGATCTTCCTTATTATTTCTTCACCAGGCCTCGTTCTCTTCCCCAGAGTTGCATACAACCTCTCTAATTTACCTTTCATAGCAGGATCTTATGTAATTATTTGAAGGCTCTTGCCATAATGGTGGTGGTAGTGGTATTTATCATGATCATCATCATCAACAGTAATAGCACATAACATTTCTTGAGCACTTTCTATAAGGGCCGTGCTAAGCATTTTATATTGTTATCTCATTAATCTTCACGACTTGACGCAATAGCTCCATTTCAAAAGTCATTTTACAGATGGGAACACTGAGGCTTAGAGACTGAACTAGCTTGCCCTGGATGTCAGAGCTAGCAGCAAACAGAGCTAGGACTGAAAACAGGCCTCCCTAAATGGTCTGTTTTCTAGCTTCACATCAGTGAATTACACCACAGATGATATCAGCAAGCGTATGAGTGTTTTCTCAGAGGAGGACTGTGGAGCCTGCATGACCTTGTGCACCCACGGGAGCTGCTCGTTATGTATTTTCATGCACAAAGTCATCTTTTTAGTGTGTTCTCTCACCGCATCTTTCTTAGAGTGGCATATTCTTTAAAAACTCCTGTATCAGCATAAACACTGTTGGAAGCCGCGTGCATAGAAAATCTCAAGCTTAGAGTTTCCCTTTGACCGATCTGGTGATTCTTCAGGTGGATCCTTCTCAAGCTGAGGTGTCTGAGTCATGGGTTAGAAGAATCCCTTCCAAGAACAGGGAACCCAGCATTCGGTTGCAGCCCCATGGACATGGCGCTGAATGAATGGACAGGCAGCCTCCTGAAGAATATAGCTTAATGTCTGAGAGCGGAAAGCAATAGAAATTCTGCTGTTTACTTAAATAATAACTACACATGCTCTATTTTTTTTTTTTTAGGTTGAGATTGCAGAAAATGTAACAAATTTGTATTTCTCTGTGGATCTGATTTATTCTTGCAAATGCCTTAGGCAGCAATTTCATTGAGAATGACTTCTTTGAATATTATACCTTCTTTTCATTTTTATACTTTGTGAAATATCCAGTCTCATTACCATTGAAATGTCAAATTATGAGAGCCTCTGCTTGCCTGGGAGTTATACTCTACAGACTAAAAGAGGCCCCTGGGGTTGTAAATCTGTGTTTTCTAAACTCTTTTTCTCAGGAACTTTTGAGAAACTTAACTTACTTGACAGATTTTTTTAAATAATACTCCCTCTGTTCTTGTATATTGACATGGTATGTTCCCACATCAATGAAACAGAAAGAAAACAAAACTCAAATATTAACCATAAAGATTGAGAGACTTGATGAAAAGGGAAAGGAAGCACATTGTAGAATATATCTAAACTCTGCCTCTGCGCTACCTAAAATACCTGATTCTTTTCATGGAAACAGTTGCTAAGCTATAACTCATCTTCTGGGATGAAGATGCATTGTCTAGGGTCCTCATATGTAGCAATGGGTGTCCAGTGGTTTTTATGCAAGTTAGTCAAATATGTTCAACCTTTTAGACGTTTATTTTTCATACTGCTAATAATATTCGATTTTGTGTTTTCTCTCCTAGGGTTGCTGGCATGGGGAACCTGCTCAAAGTTCTTACCAGGGAAATTGAAAACTACCCACATTTTTTCCTGGATTTTGAAAGTAAGTTCCAAAAATTAAAAGAGAGTGATGAAAACTTTTCACTTTCTTTATAGCTTGCTGATAGGAAATTATAACATAAAAAATCTTATATGATACTTAAACATTCAAATGTCACTGTGATTTCTTTCTGAGTCTTCAAAAACCATTTTCTGTCTTTACATTTTTATTTTAAAAAAAAAGCTCAATAGAACATCTTTTTAAATATGTCTGTGGTTTCCTTTAATTTTAGAAGTGATCAATTTTTGTAGCATAAGTCATCATTATATATTTTTCCAAATAATTTTCATGACTTTCTATGTCATAGTCTAAAGAAAAATAGTATACACAGTGATTTCCATAGATTAATATTAAACAAATTATCGCTAGGCATGAAAGAAAAAGTGATCAGTACCAGAGATAAGGCTTACAGATGATTTATTTTTGAGTCATCCCTAACTGTTCTTTATATATTATTTGATAATACAAAACTATTTCAGGATTTTGAGATACACTCCTTTTATCTAAAAGCTTGTATTTCGTTTATCGAAAACTTTAAATATTTTTCTAAGATAAAATGTCTTATGAATCATGGCTAAATAAATACAGCGATTCTTATCTTGTTTATTTTCTTTATTGGATATGTTTACAAATGAGTAACAGTCATGTTTAACAGACTCAACTCATGTTTCTACCTTTACTCCTATGTTCCTCTTTTTTTTTTTTTTTTTTTTTTTTTTTTTAATTACAATTCTTTAATAGTGGGCACAGCTAAATGTCATTTTTCCCAGTATTCACATCTGTTGCAAACTTTAATCTGCTTTAAACTTTATTTTTTAAAGTTTTGTATCTATATTAAAAATAAGTTGGAATGCCTTACATATAGATTAAACTTCCTAACAGAGATGTATCTTTCCAGAACCATTGGTGGGTCTAAAATAGCTACTTGAAAAGAAAAATTGACCCCAAAGCTCATGTGTTCTGGAAAAAAAAAAAAAATTTAATCTAGATTATATTCAATGAAAAATACTTCTCTTCTGATTTAATTCGTTTTGCTGCTGTTGTGTTGTTCTCGTTTGGTTGGTTTGGGCTGAATTTGTAAAGAACCCATCTAGAAGCTCAAAACCAGACTGATTTGTACTTCAAAAGGGATGGGCTTCTTTACTGGTGTAACTTTTGCTACTCCTCTACAATATATGTATCTTCGTTGTTATTAAAATTTACTTATTTATTTTAATTAATTTATATATTTATGAATCGCTTTAAGAATTTTTACAAAATAAATTACCTATGATCCCACCATCCCGATTTTACTATTTGCATTTTCAGTTGGTTCTTTCCACTTCTTGTCACATCCATTTTACACTGTAGCATCCGGCACGTACAAAGGCCAAAATAGTGATAAAATACTCTGTTCACTCAAAATTACAGAAGCATATAAACACCTACGGGGATGACATGCCTTTCTTTTTGGAAGCTCTAAATTTCGCACATAGTTCTGAAGTTATGCCTACAGCCATTATTTTATTCCTGACTAGAGAGGGACATCTTAGTCATCTACAAAATAAAACATCTCATGGGGAAAAATTTGTTTTTTTTTTTTGATTCTGCATATCCTATTTCCTAAGGGTGGTTTTCAAGAAAAAAAAAATGATAATGGATTGGAAGGATAGAGAAGGAAGGTTGTGGTCATGATTTTTCCTCGAGTCTATAGATTTCAGCTCAAAACCATAATAGTATATCACGTATGTTTATGAGCATCTCTGTAAGCCAGGCAACAGTAGGGTGATGGAGCCAAACAAGAACAGTCATAATGAAGTCGCAGGCTTGGGAGGAGCACAATCCAGACACAGTTCAATACGAGATAAAATAACGGGCATAGGAGATGCAGAGTGTGGCCTGGGAATAAAGAGGGAGAAAGAGCATACATCTAGTTTCAGGAAATGGTGGACCGTAAAAGGTATCGGAGAAGTCTTCTAGCAAAAGGTGGCATTTGGAATGGGTTTAAAGAATGAATGGTTTTTTTTTTTCTATAGGTGAAGATGGGGAGGGGAGTTTTCCAACAGATAGAAGTGCAGATAGGAGTAGGAAGGGCATGTTTGAAGAATGACAAGAGGCCCAATTTAGACAGAGGCCCAAAGCTTATTGACTGAAGTAGAAGGCTGGCTTGAATTAGACCATGGAAAGTAGAAAAGCTCAGGACTGGATGTCCGTAACCAGGGGTCATCTCCAAAGAGCAGAGCTGAAATCACTGAGGGAATTCTAGGGGGCAGACAAGAGCTGAGCAGAAGGGAACTTCAGGTGTGTTTATGCTTAAAGGGAGGTTGATTAGTTAGAGCATCCAGGACAGAGGCTAAGGAAGGAAGGAAGATGTCTTACTAAACTGAGATTCTTGATGGCAGAGCCTAGGCCCCACTCAGTTTTGTGACCCAGAATTTAACTGGTGTTCAACGTGGAGCACTGATCACTGAATGAGACTTAGTAACAGATGCTGGCTATGTGAAGGAACAGACAGAACAGGCTAGATCCACGCAGCCAGGAGAGCACAGACGTCCATGAAGAAGGGAGTGTAAGTGGACTCAAAAGCTGCAGATTGGTCAAGGATAGGCTTGAAAAGGGGATGACAAACTGGGAAGTGAGCTGCCCAACTACTGGTAGCCATTGGGAGGACAGATTTCAGATTTATTGCTTTGAGTACAGAGGCTGGATTGCAAAGAGTTAAGGAGTAAGCAGTGGAGGGAGGGAGGCCGAACAGCATACAGCAACAGCTTAAATGAATTTGGCACCTCTGCTTTGAGTGTTGAATATTCTTTTTGAAGTCAGTCATGGAATATAATTAAACTGGGTCAAATAGATATAATTAAGCTGGGTCAAAATATAATACAAAATTAGACACATCTGCCCTCAGGTTTTCCGGTTGTGTAAGTCTGACTTAAATTCTTGTTTGACCTTTGCAGCGAGGTCTCTACTTGATGCTCACATTTCTGCAGAACCGCTTAACATCTTTTTCATTGTTGTTTTCTCATCCTACTACTTTTTTCTTTTTCTCTCTCTACTTCCTTGTCATGTCTGTTTCCTCTTTGAAGTCTGAGAGACAGAGGGGGAATAAAATGCAACCTAATCTTTCATGAGTGATGGTTTTGGGGATGGTGTACTTGAAGATCTGTGCCCGAAAGTCTGCTGATGATTACTGAGTTGAATCCACAGTTATGGCACCCAAAGTGGGCAGCAGGCATTAGCCTTCCAGTGAAATAGTCCCGATGATTCCTAGACTGAAATGATCACTATACACATCTGGTGAACCTCATTTCTCTATAGTTGTCTGACCCTTGTCCCAAAATTCTGATTCAATGGTCTAGTCCCAAGAATCTGCTTTTGCCTCCATTCCCTGAGTGCTTCTAAAAACCTGAATTTGGAAACTACATTTAACTCATGCATCTAAGTGATGCGTTAGCCCACCCTCCTGTTTGGGACAGGGGAGCTAGCCAAGCATCCTTCGTGTTCCAAGATCTGGAGCTGAGGTCTCAAGAATTGGTCACAGAGGGCTCCTTTTGGTTTTTGTGTTCCCATTTCCCCTTGCCGAGCAGGAAGCGGAGAACTAACTGTAAATCGGAGCTGCGACTCTAGAGCGACACCCTCCCTCAGTCCTTCACACAGTGTCTGTGTACCTTGGAGGGGAAGCTCTCTAAGACAGGGAGATGTTCAAGTAGATTAAAATCTACATGTCATTACATGGATCAGTAATTCTTTCTCTATGTTGTCGTTGTTGAGTGCTCTTCCATTATATCATAGTTTGCGTATTCGTTCTCCTGTTGACAAACACCTGGGCTATTTCCAGCTTTTTAGCTATTATGTATAAACCCTCTATGAACATTATTGTAGAATCTTTGTGGGCATCATTTCTCTTGGGTAAATACCTAGGAGTGGAATTGCTGGTTCAGTTATTGCAACTTTAAGAAACTGTCAGATAGTTTTCCAAATGGGATGTACTATTTTCCATTCCTATCGGCAAGACAGAGATTCAGGTGTTCCACCTCTTTTTCAGCATCTAACGTTGCTGTCGACCTTTTTCTTTTTAGCTATTCTAGCACTTATGGGATGGTATCTCATTGTGGTTTTAATTTGCATTTCCGTGGTAACCGATAATGTTAAACATAAAACACTTTTCATATGCTTATTGGTTATTTCTTTATCATTTCTAGGAACTGTTATCTACTCAAGTCTTTTATTCATTTTGTTCATTATGTTCTTTTTCTTTGTATTATTAAGTTGTAAGAATTCCTTACCGTATTCTGTATACCTGTCTTCTGTAAGATATTTTCACTTGGTTAGTAGCTTGCGTGTTTATTTTTTTAATGATGTCTTTTCTTGCACAGAAATTTTAACTTTCGATAAAGTACAATTTATCATTTTTTTCTTTTATACTGAGTACACACTATATCCTCTTTAAGAAATTTTGGCTAACCCCTAGGTCATAAAGATATTCTACTATGTTTCCTTCTGGAAGTTTTAGAATTTTAAGCTTTACATTTAGGCCAATAACTGATCATGAACTAATTTTTGAATATGTTACGAGGGAAATGTTGGATTTGTTTATTTTTTTGTGTGACAATAAAATTGTTTTAGCTCAGGTAGATTGCTTTAATGCCTTTATCAGAAATTACTTAACTGCAATGTATATGGAGCTACCTCTGATCCTTCTTTTCTCTCCCATGGCTTTATTGATCGTTTTCACCAATTAATGCCAAAATATAACAAGTGATAAATTTTAAAATTAGGAAGAATAAGTCCTTCAACTTCAGTGCTCTTTTTTAAGATTGATTTGACTATTCCAGCTCCCTTACTTTTCTAAATAAATTTCATAATTAGCTTTCAATTTCTACCAAAAAAAATCTTGCTGGGATATTGATTATAATTACATTTAATGTATAGATCAACTTAGAGACAATTAGCATCTAAATAATATTGATTCTCCGTATCTATGGATGTGGTATATCTTTCCATTTGTTTCCATATTCTTTAAT